TCCTTCAGAATAGTTTTCTTACCAGACATGTCTGAATGGAGGATTACATTTATAAGATAAGGAAAAATACCACCATGCCTTTCCCAGACTCTGTTCGCCAACCCTTGACCTCTCTTGATTTGGTATGAAAAATACTCTGGGACATTCCAGAGTAGTTTTCTCAAGCTCACTCCTCTGTTTGTGTTTGAATGAGGGAAAGTTAAATACAACATTGGTCCCTCCTGAAGATGACAGTCCACTCTCTTCTCCCTGTACAGGCTTAAGCTACACTTATGGGAACAAGAATAGTGACTGGCCGAAGTTGAAAATGGTGAAGAATTGAGGAAGGCACGGTGGGCATGATCCAGTTGGGCCTTCTGTGTCATCCCATAACATTTTCAGACCAGTTTCCAGTGCTCAAACAGTAACTTACTTTACATTTTTTGTTCTTGTTTTTCAATATTCCGTGTGTATGTGTGTGTGTGCATACATATGTGTGTGTACATATGTATGTGTGTGTGTGTGTGCATCCTTGTGTGCAGGCACCCATGTACAAGTGAGTGCAAATACCTGAGGAGAGCAAAGGCCAACCTCAGGTGACACAATTCAGGAGCTTTCTACCTTGTTTTTTTTGAGAGAGGTTGTCTCTAGGGGCTAAGGAATATTTTAGTCAAGGTGTCTTGGCCTGAGACCCAGAGCTTTTCCTATCTCTACCTTCCCAGCACTGGAATATGAGCATGAACCAGCATCATATCTGACTTTCTATAGTGCTTCTGGAGTTCAGTTATTTTTACTAGTTAAATCATGGAACGTGTCAAATCTAAGTCACCATGTTTATAAAACAGAGAGATGTCCAACAAGAGGCATGAGAGGTAATAAGTAGCAAAAGTCCCCTTACAATAGGGATGTCACGGCCTGGACCTCACCACTACAGACACAACCAAGGGCTCAGAGCCCAGCACATACTCTAAAGGGGCAGAGTCCCTGATGAACATGCCATTAATAAATATCAGAGCAGGTGCCATGAATTCCAATCAGAAGAATTTATAATGTGATGTCAGATATTATATAGTGAGAAATAAATAAACAGAAATTGTCAGTCAAATTCTTGGCAGCTGGGTCTAGCATCAGAGGCAGTAAATGAAATAACTTCATAAATCATGTTTATGATGAGCCCCATTGCACATAACTGCCAGTGGGGTTTTCCATTATGTTGCAGGAGAGTGTGGTTTGTTGCGTTTTACAGAGGTAGGAAATGAACAGTTTCAGTGTGTCCTGTGTCAGTGACTTAAGGGTGTCAGGCCTTGATTGAGGCATAAGTTTGTCTCTAGGTCAATGTGTGCATAAAGGTTTAAAAGAAGGAATCTGGATTCTCTCCCAGAATAAAATCCAAGAGAAAGTCAAGGCTCCCAGTGAATTCTCATAAGGTATATTCCAAAACTCTAGTACTTATTATGCACAGCTCAAGGACATAATGAGTGAGAAAGTGGCTCTGTTCCAGAGCAAGCCTAGGGGAATCTCTTTATCAAACACCATTTGTTCACTCATCATTCACCTCATGGACAGAAATCCTGTTTTCCTTTGCCCTCTCTGTACATCAGATTCTCGTGCTCTTAGCAACTCACATTGTCTTCTCTTTCCTGAGGGAAACACGGTGTGAACCAGGGAGGAGGGAGGTGATATAGATGAAAGCTCTTAGAACCGAACCCTTTACATCTTAAGTACTAGCATGTTCTCTGCATCCATCTCTAAATCAATTACATGAATTGGATGATGGATGGATGGATGGGTGGATATTTTAAAAGAGACGCATACTCCCCACTACATGTCCTTTTCATTGTTTTTTTTCCTTCCAAGCTGAACTCTCCATTGTGGTTTTGGATAGGAGGTATGGAGTGCTGATTAGGAACATGTGTGTTAAATGCAAGTGCTGGCTTCAAACTCTGATTCAGCTTTAGCTGAGTGGATGTGGACACGTTATCTAAATCTCTGATTAATACATTCATATAAATGAAAATATTATCAGCATTTGACCCCATTAGAAGGATTAACTCACATGGAACACTTAACAGAGAGCTTGGCAAATAATGACATTTGACTTAAATATGAGGAATCCTTATTATTTCTGGGCATCTTGCTCTTCTGACAGCATCCTTCTATTATGTCTCAGCATCTGTTCACAAAGATTGTTTGAACATGAATGTTCAAAAGAAGATGTAAATGCTTTTGGACTTTTTAGGAAAAAGTGGCTATGACTAAGGCAATAATGTAAACGAGCTGGATTTGTCCAAAGACTGTTTTCTCCCATATCCTGGATATCCGCCCATGGTATAAAGTCAGAAGATGGCCTCATCCTCAAAATGCCCTTTCTACAGCTACAACATCTGACTTTCCTTAATGAGACTGAGACTCCTATATAACGTGATAATGTCTTTTCCCCACTAAGCTGTTTTAAAATCATTCCATGGCTCTTGAAGATCCTCAGCAAGCCTCAAACAGGGCAGTAATTAGACCCTCTGCTGAGTCCCATGCTGGTGATTTGAATAATTCAGAACACTGGTGGTGGAGGGGAAAGTAGCTACAAGAGAGCATCTACCTGGTTAATAGCCAGATGACCTTGAGTATCCCAACAGGATCAAAGAACACAACAGGGCCCAGGGTAAAGGGCCCAATACAGTTTGGTGAAATACTAGAGAACTGTCCTAGGTATTCATCCATGCATCATTTCAAAATCTCAGCTAGTCTGTCTCCTTACCCACTCAGCCACAACTACAGCCAAACATTAGGCAGACCTCAAGGAATCCTGCAGAAGAGGGGAGGAAGGATTGAAGAAGCCAGAGGAGTCAAGGGCACTACAAGAAAACTCACAGAATCAACTAAACTGGGCTCCTGGGGGCTTATGGACTGATCCAACCACCAGGGAGCTGCATGGGACTGACCTGAGCACTCTGCATATATTTTACAGGTGGTTATCTTAGTCTTCTTGTGGAACTCATAACAGTGGGAGGAGGGGCTGTCTCTGACTCTTGTCGACTTTTGGGTCCCTTATGCTCATACTGGACTGCCTTGTCTAGGCTTCAACTTGATATGCCTTGAATATCAGGTTTATGTGCCCCATATGCACCTTCCAGGCCTGCCTAATGTCCAAGTTGTCATAGGCTCTGGGTAAGTCTTGCTATTTCTGAAGTATATTTGCTAGGCTGTTAGATCTCTGTATTGTCACTGGGAAATTGATGCTTTACGACTATGTTGTCTTAATGAAATGGCTTTATCAGCCATGTTTGGTATCACTGGAAAATGCTTTCATTCAGTAGGCTGTCTCTGACTTTGCTTACCTGAGAATCATGCCAATGGGAAAGTAATTGAACAGTATTGATCAAGGACCTTCCAGACATAGAAGATCTAGACTTCTTTGACTTTATCGGGACCTTGGATTGTTATTCCAAAGTAGATGGCAAATAAAGGCCATGGAGGCATTCACACAGAGGAAGGACTCCTGAAGGTTGAGGTTGAGCATACCAATTGTGGGGTTGGAAACAGCCAGCTCTCACTGCACCTCAGTCTCATTCCAGGATAATATGTGTTGCCCTTGTAACCCCACCCATGTCAGCAGGTTGTTCAGGATTTTATATATTGGGTGTTGTTTCTATGAATAAGGTTCAAGGGCAGCTTAACAGTCCCCTTTAAATGTAATCCAGACAGTGAGAAATGTGAAATCCAATTCAGTTCAATACATGTAGCTTGAACACACACTATGCTCACATCAGTCTTTTCCTAGACAAATTTATTCCAAGTTTGAGATACTCACTGAAAGGAACATATTTACTGGCAAAGTATGTCCTAACCAAAAATGGGGGTCTATTTATGACCCTATAATTTTTGTGATTATGTTTCAAAAGCCAGGTGAAAATGTAACAGAACAGTTTTAAAACAATACATTCTATCCTTTTGATGTGACAGCATCCTTCCTGGAGACACTGTCTTCCTATAGAGCTGTCTTCTTGTACTGGCCCTAAGGTATTAACCATATACTAATTGCATTTTCAAGTGGCTTGGAACGATAGTCTTGGACTGAGTACATTTGATACATGGAGATGAGGAAGACAATTTTATTCCTGCCCAAAATGGAAATAGGTAACACATTTTCATTCTTGGTGATGATCTTTGAAGGGGACTGTTTAAAGAAAAGAAACAAGTTTACCCAAAGGTATGGACAACCAATGATCTGAAGGGCTTAACAGAGCTCACATATGCCTTGGATTTTATTCCTTGATTATTAGATAAGTAATGAATAGTAAATATGATCTAACAGTTTAATCATTGCCTCTCAATCATGTCATTCCCTACCAAAAAGGAGCATTTGGAAATATTTGGAGACTTTTGACCAGCACACACTTATCAAGGAAGAGGAAGGCGACTAATGCTTCTAATAAAAATGTGTTTATAACATATGATGAACATGACAGCTCTCCACTCACAAAAAAGAATTATTGTACTCCAAAATGTGAGTGGTATCCTTGCAATTTTCTTCATCTCCATTGAACTCTGGTCAGTGGAGTTTCTTCCTGTGTGTTCAGTGTCTCTCCCTCACAACCTTCTTCCCACAACACCTCAATAATACCTTCTAAAGAAGTTACTAAAAATAGATTGTGATAGACCACTAAATCATTGTGTAAGATAAGTGTAAAATCTGTTGGGTAAAGGAGTGCTAAGAGAACATAGCTTATATTACATTGTTAACTTCAGTGACTACAAAAGACATATTGAATATAATTTGCAGGAAACAAAAAGATGTTATCATCATGACCTAGAGACACTGAGATTCAGTCCTTCCCTTGGGCCTTGCCTCAACTCAATGTGGCTTTGAAAGACTCACCTCAACACAATCATTACCTATCTCAATAAATGAGGTAGTGGATTTCTAGATGATGCTTGTTACTATGGTGTTTGCTCATATTCAGACCTACCCGAATCTCAGCTCACATTTGAACTCAACACAATAAATCCAAATAAACAAAGGGTATTGTTGTTTTATACTTTATTTGAGAAGAGACCCTACATAAACTATGTCAGAAGGATACAGGTCTACACATGATCTCATCAATCAATAAATGGAGTTGTTAACATAACACTGAAGATATGATACTATGAAGAAGACAGATGCATGACCAAGGAGTATTTACAACCCTCACATATAATATATTTATACTGAGATGGATATATACATATATACATGTACATGTGCATATACATACATATGTCCATACATACACACACATATATACATATATATGTATTAAATGATTTTAAACAAAAACCAAGAAGAGTTTTCCTTGTTGTAATAATTGTCACTTGGGAATGAAGAATGGTTGCTTTTTGTTAGTGTTGGGTTTTAAATATCTACCTCCTTCAGGTAACTCCAATACCCATAGGTTTTGATGAAGACACACATTTGTCTTGAGATGGAAGTGAGGGTGAAGAATGTATGGGGTTGAGAGTGAAGGACATGCACAATGAGAGAAATGACCTTTGGTGATACCATTAAATCATCCTTTTGTATTAAACATAAATTATTAATACAGTTTAAAAAAATAAGTTTCTGTTTTCTTCTGAGGTTGAGGAGGAAGGGAGGCAGGGTGGGATAAGAATAAGGGGGAGTACTTGCCTTTCCAATACAACTCTTCTTAGCAACTGAGAACACCTCTTTCTACCCTGGGACCATCTTGTCATCTTATCAAGTTACTCTTGGTTCTATTCTATTTTGATTTTGCTCTGTTTCACAAAAAATAAGTTCCTGGAAGAGTTTTACTTAAGACTGTGATCCTGTTCTCCAAAGGCAAACAGTCATCATTATAACTAGATTGATTATCCAATACTTGCACACATCTAAATAAAATTAGCATAGACAATGGGATTAATCTGTGAGAAAGTAAAATAATGGAAGGAATTACTTGTCAAGGAAGGGGTACTATGACTTAATCCTAGTGTATCTAACTTAGCTGTCTGCTATATTAAAAGCTCAGGAATCCAATCATGGAAAGCGAGCATAATCAGCACTTCCCAATAACCTGTGGAATAAAATAGTGAGCATCATGAAAGAATAGTTCTGTTAAAAATAAAGCTGAAGATTGGTCAGTTGAGATTTATATAAGCAGCCTAATATCTGACAAGCACATACTAACTCTGCTTCATCAAGGTCTTCAGCAATTACCAATAACTTGGCAACACTCTACCCATTGTTGAACAACCCCTGCAACCAAGCTGTATTACTGCTCACTCCACTCCCCAAACATAGAGAGTATATTTGCTTGGCCCCAAAACTGTTGTGTACGTATGTCACATGTGTCATCTGTGCCACATCCATTGTTCAGCAGTTGCCACAAAAACAAATAATCCTTCAGAATGCCACTATAGCTTTACAAATATTGGGAAATACACATAAACACATGGGATCAGACAAGATATAATCACTTTACAGATATTTAGTACAGAAAGCTTAAGGATGGGGAGTGGAAATCAGTTGCATCAGCACCCAAACTTCATTTGCAAAATTCCTCACTGGGAACATAATGTCCTGCTAGTGTGCTGAAGTAGGTACCAGCTGATTTTCCAGATATTGAAATTTTGCTGCACATCAGCCTAAAGATAAAGGGACATGTAATGTCCAGTAGGAAAGAAATCAGTGTATACCATTTACACGGCAATAAATCATTCATTTCCTTTGAAATAAGGTATGTAAAGTAGCACTTAGTTTAATACATGTTTTGTTCTGCTTCACACCTAGCTGTAAAAAGCCATTCATGCAAAAAATTACCTCCAGTTTTAGCTGGATGTTTAAAGGACACTTCTCCTGAAAACAAGTCCCTTTCACTTAAGAAAGGGAAAAACAGTTCACTCGGGACAGCCAGTGCTGTCTAAGAGTGGAAAATACAAGACTTTGGTGTTTACAGGGCACTTGCCTTAAGAACCCAGAAGTAGCACTGAGCAGACTTCTAAAGAGGCAGAGCCAGATGTGCCCTTGAAATTTTTAAGAATTTTTTTCCAGAAAAAGTACAAGAACCTAGCTGGGGTTTAGTTCTAGCCCATTCCTCCTGAGGCATCAAAGGGGTTTGTTCTCCAGAACATTTCAGACCACCTTTCTGCCTGTCAGAGAGTCATGTATTCCTTGAATGATGAGTTTGTATCTCTTTTGTCATCTTATAGAAAATATTATCTTATGAAGCTCTCCTACAGCTGGTCTATGACCATGCCTTGATTAAAATAGAAAACAAAGTTCTCCTGTTTTAACAGATTCTAATAACCATGTCCATTCATGGTCATGCTTGTCACACAAATAGGACCATAGCATGCATTTCTCTGGGTGGCTTTCATGAAGACAGAGTCAATATTTTGGACATGTTTAAGAAGGCAAGGAATGAGGAGGAATGTGTTCCTCCCCAGACCTATTCCAGGGTTAAACATCAGAGTTCTGTTGAACTTGTTCCTCTGAGGGCTACTCAAGCATGCTTCTACTATTTCTCTATCTGAAAAGGAATGCTGCATGATCTCTCATCATTAAATGCTATGAAATGCTATAAGTAATAATGAGAGGGAAAGAAGTGTGTATAAGAGACAGAGGAAAGGGGTGGCTAGAAAGAATGATAGGTTGATCAGGCCTCAGATAATTCAGAGGCAGCCAAAATGGAGTTTGTATAACACCTGTGAAGAAGAAGAAGAAGAAGAAGAAGAAGAGGGGGAAAGAGGAAGAAAGAGGAAGCAGCTGCTATCTTAGAGAGGGCCCCAAGGAAAATGCCAAGTAAACAATAGAAGACTGCACTGCCTCTGTGGTAACACCTGTGCATTTTTGTGCTATAGGAAAACTGAACGATCACAAAGCATAGTGACAACATGTGCTTCTGTTACTCTCATTTCCCCAGTGTCCTCTTTGGACTGACATAGGAAAAGTCATGAGGAGCTACTTCCAATCTTACCATGATTGTTTAAGGCAAAAACAGCTATTGAACAGCACTCAAGGTTAAAAATTGGATGCCAAGATTCAAAGTCGTATCCTTCTATAAGTTTCCCAAATGCCTGGTGACAGCATTGCTAAATCCTTCTTTGTCCTCAAAGGCCATAACTTCAGCTCCATCACTGCATATTACTGTTTCTGGATGCATACCAACCAATCATGGCCTTGTATATTGTGGACATTATGCTTATTTTTAAGTGGTTATTAATGAGTAGTATTTCTTATAGGAGTTTGCAAGTCTAGGGTGCCTAATAAAGAACGGGTTCCTGTACCAAAGCATTCCCACCACCAGTATCTCAGTCTTTCCCATCTTTGTGCTGAGAAACATGGTTGTGACATTCCACACTTTGTTAGTATGTCAAGGACATGGCAGTAACAGCTACATCAGACTTGGGGAAAAATAAAATCTACTCCTGAATGTTGATGTTGGAATGTGGTCCATGAATGAAATCTTTGAATGTGCTTTTGTGCCCCTTCTAAGTGTAGTGAATAGGAGTAGACTTGCTTCAGATTGATTACTTATTGATGCTTACTTTTATTATTCAAAGGTTTTTACAAGCACCAGTTATCCGTGTGACTGAGGACAGCCTGAACTTATGTGAACATCCTCAGAATATAAATTGTCTGATGCTCTGGATAAAGTTGGCTGTTTTATACAACTTTAGTCCATCTTAATTTTACTCCACTCTACCAGGTTCACACCGCCAGCTAGAGCAGTAACACCTAGATTGTGAGAAGTTAAATATATAATCACCTAAACTTAAGAATAAAATCTTCCAAGTTCAAGGGGTAGAAAGCCATGGGGGTAAAAAAATAATCTGCCCTATCCTATCTGGAAATCCAATCAACAGAGTCAACCTCAGATCAGGAAAATGATTGCTGTCCCTGGTGCTGAAAGCAGTTAGATCAGAGCAGAATTTAACATTTCTGGGATGGGCAAAGCCATATACCACCTGTGAAAATAAATCTTCTTTTCAAAGAGGTTGATAGTAGGTGAAAGTTCTCAAACTGTATTCCAAAATTCTCTTTTTTAAATATCATTTGAAGCAAAAAGTGACTTTGGAATAACCTTAATACCTGTGAGAAAGAATTATTGAATTGCAAAAAAATCTACATGGGGTAGCTTACTCTAATCTTTCTAACCTGTTTCATTATTTAGTTCTATTGGGCAAGTTTCTGGCATGAATGAAGGGTTCCATGGGTTCAGAAAAGATTCCCACAGACATGTAGAACACTGGGGACTGCAGACAGTCTGTGTCGACTGTTTCGCCCTGATATCAATAACAAATATGGGGTTGACTTAATTTGCTGTGACTGAAGGTTTTGAAGCATGGGCCTTTACTTCCTCTGTAACCCTAATTTTATTGTCATGTTCCAAGAAACTGAACAGAGCTTTTACTGTGCTCAAGGGAACATCTAAATGTGTAAACAAGAGCTTTGCACCTGCTACACACCTCTGCTTGCACAGACACACACACAAACACACATAGACACACACACACACAAACACACACACACATCAAAAAGTAAAACTCATCTTGAAAAGAGAATGTATTTCTTCACTGAATATTACAGGAATGTCTGCTGGCAGAACAGCACTGATTTTTTCATTTCACATTTAGTCAGAATTTTCTTGCCCCAGCTTGCTTTCTTTTCTTTTTAATTTGACAAATCTCTTGTGCCAAACCACCAGAGTCCAAACACATAATCAAGAAGACTCCTGTTGCTGTGGTACTTGGATCAGAAAAATAACATGGGCCATTTGGGGTTACCTCCAACCCCAACGGGCTCAAGAGAGCCTTTGCTTTGTGACATGAACTATAATCAATCTTTGCTAGCCTTGGAAAGGAAATATCCCAATGGCCCCCCAAAAGGCTAAACTTTCATAGAAGGGAATGAAAACAAGCATTAAAGTAAGTTCTTACTGTTCCTGCTAGCATATTAGCTCAAACTTTCCATGTTCATCAATTTAGTTCCCAAATGCTACCCTGGAGATCTTTAATGTATCAGTCGTGTCTATCATTCCATGAAACTCCTTGTTCCAGGCATGCCTTAGCAAAGTTTAGAATAGCCCATGTCCTCAAGATTATCCCAGAAAATTAGGAAACACCACTCAGAACCAGTTTGCCTTCTTCAATTTCACAACACAATTTACAAGCACATCCCAATTTGGATTCTCATTTCAAAAAAGGCTGCGGTACTTTCTGCCTGGCAGACAAGGGCAAGGAAGGGGGAAGTGTCACTCACATAGAAGTCTGTAACAGAAGTGCTGTTTTCCTGTATCAGAAAAACAAACACTGAGTCAGTCCAAGGTCAAAAGAAAACAGAAGCTGTGATCATCTGAACTTCAGTGAAACATTTATGAGTTTCTCAGGGTTTGGGGTACTCGGCTTCATTCTGCTTTTTCTCATGAGTGGTCAAAATCCTTTCACAACACACAGACAACATTTTGTCAGACGTATCACACCTGATAGCTGCTTGGAAATTGGAGGGAAATACCATTTGAAAGATTTCACTTTCCAAGTAGTCTTCATGGAGAGGAACTTCAAATAGTACTTGGCATCACAAACCCCTGGGACATGTTTTAGAGACTGTAAATTACTTCACCACTGTAACCTTGGGAATCCGGCCTTGGGATTAACTGTTTAGGGTTTCTTTTTCAGCCAGATACGTTCCTGAGCAGGATTCCCTCTGGAACCTCTCTGGGTTGCTCTGGGCAATTGAAAATGAGGCCTGGAATTTGCTCATCACCAGGATAGTTTTCTCCATCTTCTGATTACCCCTGCTTTTCCTTTGTGGGGACCACAGTACCTGGAAAGCTTCAAGATCATTATCACTTTCAATCTCTCTGCAAGATCTGTTTTAGTATTCAGTTTAAATAATGCAGCCTTACTTTACCAGGCATTATTCTAAAATCTATAGTACTTTTTCAAAGCAGTAGTGACTTGGTAAGGAGTTAAAGCAGAGGGGATGCTATTTGGCTCTCAGATGTCCAGGGTTCCATGCCAGAAAATGGAATCTGCAAATCAACCCTGCAAAGTGGGTAAAACACCCATTTCTGCTGGTAGAATTACAAGATATTTTCCATTAGTATATATGCACTAGCCATTCAAAGTAGGAAAAGGTTAATGACTAACTCTCTAGAAACCAACCCATGGAGGGAATAAGGAGCACACAGCTAAAACACAGCACAAGTCAAATGTTTCAACATCATGAGCAGTACTTGCTGCTCCAGGAGTGGGCTTCCCCAACCCGGAGACTTGGAGACAACAGCAAGAGCTGACTCTATTGCTTATGATAATCCTCGGTGAATGGCAGGAGGCTGTTAGCAGAACTTTTACAGAGCAAGACGCTGATCAGAAAGAATAAAGGCTCATAAGACCTCTACCTTTGGGTCCCATTGCTCCTTCTTGACATTTCTTCATAGATAAAACTTAAAAGACACCATCAACTTTGTCCTAAGGAAATACAGATAAAAAATTAAAAATCTGGGAATCACAATGAAGGTATTAGTGGAAATCAAGAAATACTCTTAAGTTGTCTAGAGTTATGAGGGGAAAATGATTGTTTTTAATGTATATAAATTTTTTGCCTGTATGTTTGCCTGTGCACCACTTCCATGTCTGGTGCCTGTGGAGGCCAGAAGAGGGTGTCAGGTCCCCTGGAACTGGATTCACAGATGGTTGTGAGCTTCCACATGGGTTCTGGGAATCAAATCTAGCTCATTTGGAACTGAAGCCAGCGCTCTTAAAATCAGAGCAAATCTCGCCAGATCATGAAAAAAAAAAAGGACTTTATTGTTTTTAAATAAGCAGTTATATCAGACATGACAGATTTATTTTTATTAGTGGGCGTGGCTATTTGTGTCTGTAAAAACCATTGCTGGCACAGCATATGTTGATATGAAATTATTTGTGGAATAGAAGCTTTGGCCTCCCAGATCCTCGGTTGACCTCATCTCCATCACCATTGCATGGTGTGTTGATTCAGTTCATTTCTTTATTTATTTCTTTATTTTATTTATTTATTTTGTTTTTTTTTTTTCTTTTTTTGGTTTTTCGAGACAGGGTTTCTCTGTATTGTTTTGGAGGCTGTTCTGGAACTCGCTCTGTAGACCAAAGGGACAAACATCTCCAGCGTCGTCACAATAAAGATCACTTCCACCCAATCTGTGAGTCAGTCTTTTAACAGCTCCAAGTGTAGATAAACCTTGGTGGACACACAGAACTCCAGTTCATGGAGAGACATGCCCCGCTCACAGTAGACTAGAAAGAAAGGAAAACTGTACTTTGCCATCTACCAGGATGTTCAGCAGCCAAGAAACAAGAGAGATGTGTGAAGGAAAACAAGTTTGTAGGAAGGCTTGCCTTTCTTAACTAAGCCAGAGAGGGATGAGATGACTTCAAGAAGACAGACTGGGGCCTTCTAATAGGCCCCTTGTACTAGAGTCTCCTGTGCAAAGGCAACTAATGAGGCACTAATGAGTGCTAATCATTTGGTCCAAGGAGCTGGAAAGAGACTGATGGATGGCTGGGAGAGCAGCTTGCTTCTTTCTGCAGAAACCCAGATTAAATCACAACATGCTCAGGCTAAGGAGATGAGATGCCCAGACTTTCTTTCCTCCACTTTCTAGAACTCTTAGTGCCTGGCCCATAAGAGATGAAGTAGGGAGCTGGGGACAGATTCGATTTGGAGTTCATTGAAACTAAGAAAGTGAGTAAGAGAGTAAGTGAGAAACTGAACATGTGGTGCAAACAACTCTGGCCCTTTGGGGTGGGATGTCTGCAAATGTGCTCTCTGGGAATGTGCTCCCTAGTGCTGGGAACTAATCAGAGCAACAGAGTAGGACAGAGTGGCTTTCCCCATCACTGCTGTCTGGGACAGAGCACAACCTGCAGCTTGTTTGCCTACATTCTGTTAAGAGCTAGTAGTCAGACTGTCACCCAGCCAGTGCCCTATAATCCAGCTTCTAACTCAGCTGTCTTCTTATGTCCCAAGGACTTCATGCCACCTTTCAGTTAGAACACTTGAGTTTTATATTTAATGGTTGAGTCAATAATCTGCCTAAACTGAAGGTAAACATTTATCTTCAAACATAATAATTATGATGAACCTTATAACCTATTCCCCAGAAAATTAATTACAAAAAATCAGAATCAGAGCTCATTATGTTTTTTTTCTTCTGTTTATCTTGGGGGAAAAAAGATAGGGAGGAGTCCTACATATAAGTATGAAAATCTTGAGAAATTGGGTGTTTTCTTTCTCCTTCAAAGGAGTCTTAACTTTGTAATAACTCATAGTACAGAAAGTCATGGACTTTGTCCTGCTAATACAAACAATGATGAGGCACAGTGAGGAAACCACATGTGTGGTGCACTCATTTGCGTGCACGCGCACACACACACACACACACACACACACACACACACACACACACGCTGAGATCAACGAAAGCAACACAAATGGGGCACTGTGATCTATATGTGATAGAATTACCCAGACATTTGCATACATGCACTTGCTTGTATGTGGAAGTGAATAAATATTATAAATAACTAAAAGGATGGATATGATTTAGTCTCTATCAGTTTGAGAAGCTAGAAAAAAGCCACAATTTCTGATAATTGCTTTTAAATAAAGTCATCAAGATTTCCTCTGTGCAACTGCTATATTACTCAGCCTAGAAATCTATTATTTTTGGTCAATAAACACAATGTCCTTGGCTAAAACCTTTCAATTCTCCTAAAGAACCGTCTAAGAATATATAAAGAGATTCCTACCACTTATACTAAAGAAGCAAAGAAGGAAAAATAATACGAAGGAGAATCAGATTCAACAACTCTGCAGAGAAATTGGTTCTTCAGATTTGGGTGGGCATTCTAAAATCCCGAGGGTGTGTTTTCAGAAATGTCTGGGATTACACTGAATAACTTTGCAGAGTCTGGAGGTAGCTGGGGCCAAGTTGAAGGTCCCTTTTCACAATTTTGAATGCATGGGATGCATGTATGTGCTTTTGATGTGGGCCATCTTATCAGAAATGTTTCATCAGACTGTGGGATCTCAGTGAGGTATCTTACCATGAGCTAGAAGGGCTCAGAGATTCCTACAAAGCACTGTCCTTGCTGGGTGAGTAGGGGGACTTTATTAAAAGGACCAAAGGAGACACCTGTATAGAGGATTAGCCATTCCAGCCATCAGATCCCACCCACACCCACATCATCTGCAGCCATTACCTTGTTGCATCTGCTGTCTTCTTGGAACCTGGAAGACTGGAAGCATATAGATGGACTACCTCTGGGCCCTTGGCTTCTCTGCAGACCATTACACTCTGAGGATCAGTCATAAAACTGTTCGTCATCAGTGGAATGGCTTTCTTGCCTTGATTTGCAGCCTCCTCTGGGAGAAAGCCAATACAGTGACAAGCACTGTCACTCTGACCAAGCAGCAGACATGATTCAAGAGTTTATCATGCTCACAAAAAGGTCAAAACTTCCTCTCTGAGGGTCAGATCCCAGCCACAGTCCCTTTGCTCCCATAGGCTAAAAGTTCATGGACTGTGGGATCAGTAGGTGCAGACGGGAGAGGGGGCTGCTGTGGGTGGGCCACCAAGGACTTCAGATGGGATTTACAGGGACACATCACATGCATCTCAATGAGCTGTGCAGTCAAATTCACTGCACAGAGGTTAATCTAGATGTCAACATTGTCTGACAGCACTGAAATTACTCCAGGGCAGGGCTCCTTCAGAAGTCTTAATATAACAGTCAATTCCATCCTGCCTGCAGGAAATGAAAGTTTGCTGCTTTGTATGCCGAATCATTCAGCGCCAATTTTCTCACTGTTTGAAGTCCAAACTGTTTGTGGTCCTGGGATTCACCTCATATTAAGACTTCCATAGACTTTCAGGAGCCAGATCCTTCGTCCCATGAAAGCCAGACAATGTGAACCCAGAAAAGGGGGGAAATGAAAAAGCAGAAAGAAGAAAATCTTTACTGAAATGCATTCCTCTCCTGTGTGTAGCAGAAATCACGATACCTGGGCCAGGCTTTCTCTTCCTAAACAGAAATAGCTTCAAGGGCAGCAGCTAAGTGTCAAGCTGCTTTGCAATAGAGACAGAACACAGACTAATCTCCCTAGGAAGACACTGAGTAGGTGTCTTTTTAAAGTAACACTCCCACGAATGCCTCTTAAATGAAATAATAAATACCAGATTTGGATTTGAGTGTGTGATTTCTCACTTATTTGAGGGGATATACATCCAAAGGAATGCTAGACTACACAGTGTGCAGCTGGGCTCTCACGCTACCTTTATTCTTGCAGGAAAGAGGTCTAAATTCCTGACTGCCTAAAATGAGAAGAAACTGAATCCTCTCATAGATACTAAATGAGAGAATGCCTGAAATGCCTGGAAGCTCCTCAGAAGGAGGAGCTCTGTAGCCTCCTTGTCTTCTGTGTTATCTCAATCCACCTTCTCTTAGACACATCTACTTTGTGAACTATAAATATCTCTTGAGAACTCTGAGCTTAGATCTTGGAGCTCCAATATATTCCTGGATGATCAGGAAAAAAATGTTAATAGAATTTTCTCTTTTACCTATGTATGAAAGAGGAGACTTTGCTTGCTAGTTTAAGACATCATTCTTAGGGCAAATATCAAATCAGACTTTTATAAAGTTGGAACCTAGCTGCCTACAGGAAGGGCAATATGAATTTTATGACTGAAGTGAAGAATTCCAAGTACTCCTGTATTTGAAAGTGTCATAAGGAGAACCATGACTGTATACAATTTAATATTGCTAACAAGAAGGAAAAGAAAAGAATTTTCAAGCTCACTCAGGTGGAATCCATATCTCCACAGATCTCACAGAAACATGCCTCAGTTGGTACATTAGGCTCTTGTTTCATGCATGTACACACACACGCACACACACACACACACACACACACGTGCACACGCGCACACACACACACAGATGTGTTTGGAGAAAATGCACCAGACAAACAGAAACCATGTTCAGAAGCCAAGATGCAAGTCCTTGGGCAGGACAATCCAGTGCACTGACACAAATAGTCACCACCTCCACCACCATCACCTGTGCCTGTCATAGAGCTTGACAGACTTATCTTCTCAGGTCCACTCTGGTCTGGTCCTCCTGGAAGAGGTTTCATCTGCCCTGATGGTAACTCGAGTACCAAATCCCAAACAACACATAAGTATAAATGGTTTCTATATGGTAAGCTATGGGAAAACCAGAAGGGATGATACTGAGATGCTCGGATGTCATTTGTCAATATAATTTAGCATGGGGAGCAGCAAATTATCAAACTTTATAACATGTGCGATTACCCTTTGGGAGCTTTCTGAATACTCCAAGGTCAGTCTACATCTTTAATTCTCGTGCAGGAGAAACATAAGGTGAAAAGAGAATCCCAATTTGCAACTGATTCCCTGATTCTAGGGAGATGTCTCTGACTTTCGACCATCAAGTGGATGGTGAGAAGGCATCATGTGCAAGTGACTAGAGCTGAAAAGGAATGCTTTCCTGGTAATAGTCAAGCAATCCCAAAACAGGTATGCAAGTGCAAGCTGATGTTTTAATAATGGTGCCCAAACTTGGAATTCCCCATCCAGTCCTCTTAAGCACTAGTTGAAACAATTTATCGGTACCAAATAATGTGGATCTTGAAGAAATAAAATCATATTGCATGACTACAGCTCACAGGGTCTGAGCTCAAGGTGACACTTTTTTTTCTCTCAGATAAACACCTTGTGCATTTTAACAGGTTGGTGCCCAACCAAAGCAGACACTAGACAGTGTAGGGATGTTTGAGTGTGGCTCATGGGACTGCTGAGATCTGGTTTTATTGACTGAAGGTCCACAAATATTTCTATGCTCTCTTCTAAGCAAAGAATTGCAAACACTGCAAAAACTCCAAGGTAAATGTAAAGATTTTAATGCTGCTGTTTGGTTCAGAAAAGGGAAGCAAGTATGCCACTAGTCTTATTCTTGGATATAAAAGAAGTGGAAGAAAGCGTGTACACATAAAAATCTCTTGGTTTCTGAGCCAGAGTCCAGCTTGCTACTTGCTTTTCAGAGGAGGTGGATGTGACAGTCTCCATATTCCAGACTCGCTTCTGCCCAATTAGCCATGTGAATTTGGGAAGGTGGCTGAAAGAAAAGGTAAGTTTCTCCTGAAGAACACAAATACCAACTTCCTGACTTGTGTCCTAGATCCTGCACCAGTGTCCCTCAGACATATCAGGCACTAAATATTCTTTACTTTCCTTTTGTGGTCAGTTTTTGTCAACAGTAACTTTCCCTCCTTTCCCTCCCTGCCTTTCATTTCAACTCTCATTTATAGAGAACAACCTTAGAATAAAGGAGTAGATGGGACTCAAATAACCTTTCAAACTGAAATAGACCCTAAGGGTCCACCTACTCTAACTCCATATATCTCAGGTGGGAAGTCTGATAATCAAATAAATGTTGATTTGGCCAAGCACAAAGGCAGGGTTCTCAGTGGCCTTTCCGCTGTACAGCATACTCTTCTGGCGTGGCTGATTCGTCCTTATACTTCTGTTCTGAAGTTGTTCAGTTGTTACTGGTTTCCATAGTATTTAGCACCAGAAGTACTTGCACTAGTGTGTTCCACAAAGTAGGCATCACCAGAGATGAACAACACTGTTCAGCTCAAACCCAGAAAAATAGCAGCTCTTCACCTCCAGTGAAAAGCTTTCTCTGGGAATAACTTGTGCATGATCTGCTGAGTGGAGGAAGCCCAAAGTTCTTTGTCTATTGACTAGAAAAGGCTTAACTACCCTTGACAACCACTCATAGTTCAGAGATGAAATCAGAAAGGAGCATTATGTTCATGCCCAAAGAAAATAACTAAAAGGACCCTTGGCCATGACACCCTGCTCTACAATGGACATCCAAGACACTCTTTTTCAACCCAGGATGGGCCCAGGTGAAAGTGACAGGGCACATAAATGAGCATGTGTTCCCTGGAACATTTGCAAGTGCTCACAGTAGAGTTAACTTGAAGGTAAGTGCTAAATCAATTTGGCATGGTCTTCAAAGTACAGATATGTTTATGTAGGAAGCAGGATGGAGCAGATGGTAGCGGCTACATGGACTGATGGGTTGTTGATTCTAGACTCATTGGACCACATTAGATTCTTTAAAAATAAATAAATAAATATCAAATAAATAAACAACCAATAACAATTTTCTAATATATGGAAATGCCAGGTAGGGAATGAGACAGATTGTCCCCTCTGTCCTGGCCTAAAGCAGTCTCAGACACTTTAGACTCTTGCATCTTGTGACATAGGGGAAGAAGAGGATCAGTCTGACTTACTGGAACCAACCCCAGCCCAAGCACAGTATGTCCTCAGAGACAACTACCTTCTGATCACACTAGGCCAAAGGAGGATTATCTAGGTATTCCAGGGTGAGGTTAAGAAAATATAATAACACAGTGACTCCGTGCTGTTAGAAGCTAAAGTTCAGAGCTAGAATAGGGTGGGGGCATAATAAGGGCACCCCTTATTTTGCACATAGAGAAAACATGACACAGTGAAGTGAGTCATATACGTCCTGTGCCAATACAGGAGGAGTAAGACACTCTGCATACCCCAGAGCTCTGGAATACATTTCACCATCCAAAGCCTGTTCTGTATGTCCTTACCCTCCAAAGTCTGTTCTGCGTGTCCTTACCCTCCAAAACACTGCAAGCCCTTTCTCCACCTTCCAAGGGTCACACATAAAATCTACTCTACTTAGAGAGGATGCCGAGATAGTATAAAGGTTGGCCCCATCCTGCATCCCTCCTAATTCCACTGCCCTCTCTCTTACTGTTACACAGGCAGCTGATAATGGAGGGCACAGAGAGGAGATGTTTCCAATGCCAATGCTCATGGAACTATAACAAGGACACTTGAACAAGTTCAGTCTTGTCATTTCTCCCAACTATCCCATTAAGGCTCCAAACTACTTCGGTTCTCCATTTCTTCCAGCACCAAACGCCTCCAAAAAGGCTTTAGACCTTGGGGCATCACTTCTAACTAGAAAACACTTTCTTGTCAGACTCCTTTCCCTCTGCCAGTCATTCCTTGCCTGAATGTCTCCCCTTTATTTATTCAGAGTAAAACTGGGTTGGAAACTTCCATCCAGCGTTCATATCCCCAGCAGAGATAAAGCCTCAGGTGGACTGATTCAAGGGGTAATAAGAGAAGTAATTGCCACAGGATAGCAAAGGATTCTTTTGAAGGGATCAGTCCCAAGAGCTTTTCCCTGATGTCCTTAGCAGCCAGGTTCCCACCACCACAGTAAGATGCTCCACACAGAATTCCTAGTTAACCCAGCACTCTCCCCAGTCCAGCTGAGTGGGCTTGCTGACACCTGAAAGCCCAACCATGGCTACAATCTGAGCACAGCTCTTTTCTATTTGAATAAAAACATTTGTTGGTATTAAAAAAAAATAAAACCACAAACACATACTTCAGTCCTAACCCCACCCCAGAGTTGCCCATACTTAAGCTGCCTTCAGTTGGCCAGGGGATCCAGGCTATAGACATTTTCTTCAGCTGGCCAGGAAAAGTGAGAGTCAGTGGCTCCTGGGAGCTTCTGGTAGGAAAATGACTGTTCTGTGCTTAGGATGAAGTGGAGAGGCTGGTACCCTAGAAAGAGCACACCCCCTCCTCCCAGCAAGAAGACTCGGTACCGCCAGGCTCTTGACTCCCTGGGGCGTTTCATTGTTGTGTCTGAGAGCTGTCCAGAGATCTTCTCTTTTGCCATCCTCCACAGCAGTTAGGAAGACAGCCATTTCCCATGGAGCTGGGGGATACAGGGCTGGCCCCAGCCCAGATGCTTCATTCTCACTTCCTGGTCAGCATTTGGTCCTCATTAAGATGCCACGTATGCCGCACTGGTCACTCATTGGACATCTTCCAGAGAAGCTTCAGCCTCCCCGCCCCCCAACACACACACCAAGCCCACAAAGCAATTTCTCAGTCCCTGCCTTTTCACAACAGCTCAAAGGCAGATGCATCAATCCTTCCAAGGGCTTAGAAACGTGAGAAGAATGCCAAGGGCCCAACACAGGTGCCAATCCTTGCTGGCTTTTGCCAAAACCAGTGTCTGGCTCCTTGAAACACACATGCCTCAGGCTCTCACCTGGATCCCTTCCCTGGCAATGGGGTTTACCCAGGACTCGCTAGAACCTCAGGATACGGGGGAAGCAATATAAGAAATAAGACCCAAGGGGTGCATAATTAAGATCTACAAGCAAATAAGCAAATACCAGAGCCCTGAAGCCTGCTGTGTCCACATTAGCAGATGACACCAGAGAATGTGGATTTGAAACCTCCAAACGTCCCCCAAGGACCTATAAAAGAAGAGGACCGGCCAAAGAGTCTTCCCAGTGATGGAAAGATGGGTGGCAGTGCCTTGTAGGATTCAAACTTGAGCTGCTTTTACTTTCTCAGTTCGGTTCTTTAAATCCACTAAGTCCAGTTCTTCAGGTTCAGAGGATCAAATCTCTTCAAACCTAGCAAGGAACTTGAGAGTGATTTACACCCAGAAGGTTGGGGTTCGCGCTTCCCGGAGTCCCCAACCCTAACTTGTTCAGTGTTTATCGGGACCATGGATGGCTTTGCTCTTGTGTGATCTAGTGTTGGTATTTGTTCAGTATTTACTGGTAGGTGTCATCATTGATTCTAGTTTGTAAAATGGACAAATTAGAAAATTGTCCCAAAGAGGAGGAAACGTGGAAGAGAGTGGAGGCAAAGGCAGACCACAGATGTTTCCAAAGGGCCTGGACTTCTAGAATTGTTTTCTTGCCAAGCACCATCAATGGGTCACGCACATGCATTGATTATTGTGCGCCAACAGCCGCCGTGCTTCCCCCCATCCTCTCTCTGCTGGTCAAGACAAAGAACTCTGAAAAGCCAGAGCTAAAGAAGCACGGGCCACCGCTGAAGTCAAGGGAATTACATTTGTGTTAATAACAATATTTAAAATTTTTCTCAGTTATTAATGTCTTATGGTTTTCTGTCTCAGCAGCGTCTCTGTAGATATAGATAGATAGATAGTTATATGTATATATAAATATATATGTCAAACTGCCTTACAGGGTTTCTTTCTTTCGTTTTTTGTTTTTGTTTTTGAATTCAGTGTTGTATGTGTAGCAGGCACTTGAGTTTATATGAAGATGTTCGTTTCAAAGATGGAAGAAAGGAGTTGGGATGAGGAAGTAGTGGATATGAAGCAGGGAGTGAGGAGGCAACGGAGTATAAATGCTTGGCCACCAGTCACGCTAGCCGAGAATGTCCAGGTAGATTGGGGTGGCCTTCCCCAAAGTGTGGAGGATTTTGTAGATCTCCTTAATATTCAGCCGCTGTTGGGGTTCCCTCTGCCAACACCCCAGCATGACATCATATACCTCTTTTGGGCAGACTCGGGGTCTCTCCAAGACACGGCCTTGGGTGATGCACTCAATGACCTGGAAGAGAAAGAATAAAGAAGTTATATCCAGAAGTTCATTCGAAGCGCATCCTTGATCCTGGGACTCCTACCTAGCAACAGACATCAATTTTACTCATCAGAGCCACACGCAAGAGGCTGATGTTTGGGTAGGAGGCAGCCCTGGTTTTCTTCTCTGCCTGAGCAGATGTTGCAGGGGGTGTTGAGCAGTGTAGGTGGATCTCACTGATGCTCTTTGTAGTGTACCTGCTGGGCCAGAGCCCATGAACCATGACCCCCCCACACAGGTACCCTTGCATTTTATTTCACAGTTTCTGTGGTCTTGTTTATCACTTGGGCTGCCTGAACAGCCTTCCTCTCCCACCTTGTTGTAAGAGATTGGGCCTGACCACCCTTCCTCCTACTCTTAGCCTCTGTGATTTAGAAAACCCCTTATAGAGCTCGATCTGTCTGCTCCCTTCATACCTGTCTCCTATTAGTTCCTCTTTATTTTCATTTAATTGTGACTATATATGTTATGCAAGTGGGCATGTGTTGGCACGTTCCCATGTATTTGCTTGCGTGTGTTTGTGTGGGTTCACATGAGAGGGTAGTTGGGCATATATGTGCATACACACATATGCATGCAGTGTAGAGGCTCAAAGCTGAAGTTGTGCATTTGCCTAACTTGGATACCACTGTCTTTCTTGAGGCAGAGTCTCTCCCTAACCCTGGAACCCATCATTTCCAGACACTCCTCTAGCCAGCTGCCCCTGCCTTCTGCTCAGATTTCAGGCAGCTGCTGTGCCTGCCCAGCTGTGTTGTGTGGGCTCTGTGGTTCCGAACTCCAATGGCCATGCCATCACAGCAAGTGCTTCAGCCACTGATCCGTCCTCAAGCCACTGGTTCCCGTTTACAGCAAACTCTTCCCCCAGCCACAACGTCTGTGCACATCACCCTGCTTGCCTCTGGGGACAGGACTCTTTCTCTCCAAGGTCTACCCTCCTATCTGAAATGAGTCACCTGACTTACTTCTTTTAAGATTTTTCTGTAAAGTATTTTGCTGATACACATTTTAAAAATTCTACTATAATTACAACATTTCTCCCTCCCTTTCCTCACTCCAAAACTCTCATAGAACCACCCCCAAATGTTTCTCAAATTCAAGGCCTCTTCTTTCATTAATTGTTACATTATTAATATATTATATATGTTATTTAGGAACAGATACATTCCTAAAAATAGCCTTCTCAGACCACAGAACATTATTATAGGTATGTTTTCAGGGCTGACCATTTGTCAACCAATCAGTACTCTTCCCTGGAGAAGGTCACCTCTTCTGCTCCCAGTTTTCCTCAGTTGCCCATAGCTCTTTGTGAGCTGCTGGGGTCTACCTGGGTGGCCAGGAAGTTCAAGTCAGTTAACTTCCAGGATCTCATCACCCTTGTCTATAAGACTGGGATCTGGATTTCCAGAAAGAACTAATGCAACAAGAAAAAAAATGTACTGTACTCAAGGGATGGCTCCAAGGTACAAGAGACCTGGGTATGTTCTCAGAAGTTCAATTTCAGTTACTCACGGACATTTCCTTTTAAATGCTGGGGACTGATCCCAGGGCCTCCAGAGTAGGTGGTTTTTGTACTACTTATCTATACTCTCAGTCCAGATACATTTTAAAATGTACTTTCCCATTGGTGTGTATCTATTCTACACAGGACTGTGTTACATAAGGACATTTTAATACAAGTTTATTATGCTCTGAGTGTATTCCCACTACAATACCCTATTTCCCCCATATTTTCCTTAATTTTAACACTAGACTTTATTTTTCTAATTAGACACTGCAGTATTAAGCTTCATTCTGGCATTTTGGTTTTATTTGGTTTAGTTTATTCTATTCATATCACTTTCTGTCGCTCCCCTTGATGCTACTTTACACTCCACCACCTCCACACATCCCGTCTGCTCTCATGTCTCATGTGTCTTATTGTCCCTCCCTTAGGTTCCCCCGGTGCCCCTTTTTGTCTTCCCATCACCCCCTCTCTAGTTACATAGCCTGATCCTACCCTCACTGTTAAGTGAACACACACTTATAAAACGTTAGAAGCTGGAGAGATGGCTCAGAGGTTAAGAGCACTGGCTGCTCTTCCAGAGGTCCTGAGTTCAATTCCCAGCAACCACATGGTGGCTAACAACCATCTGTAATGAGATCTGGTGCCCTCTTCTGGTGCGCAGGCCAAACACTATACATAATAAATAAATAAATATTTTTAGAAAACAAAAGCATTGGAAGCTAGGCTAGAGATCAGCACCGGATGTTTCTGAAAACATTAGAAACAGTAGTACCATATGACCCAGCTGCCCTGTTCCCAGACATATACCTAAAGGACTTACATCCAACCACAGACACATTTGCATATCTGTGGTTATGGCTGCATTACTCACAACAGCAAGCAAATAAACTCTGTTTTGAAAAACAAGTTTTATTTAAGGAAAACTTGAGAAAATTATACATGCTTCCCACTGTGACCTGCCATCTGCCTGCTATTAACATACTACACACTACATTTGCTTAATCCATTATTAGCCAAATGTCATACTTTATCCATATTTCCTAAGTTTTTAACCTCTTCTCCTTTTGTTAATCCAGGATTCTATCCAGAACACTACATTGTATCAACTCATAAAGTTCCTTTGGGCTCCTCTGAGAGGCCAGACATTTCTTGACTGAAATTGAAACATGTGTATTTTTCAAAACTTCATCTAATTTTCAAGTTTGTTTTAACCTATATTTAACTTTAATATTGTTCCAATTCAAGCAGGTTACCTCAAACTTCAGTTTCCACCTTCGTAGACTGCTTGTTATGATTAAAAAAACAAGTTTTCTATGGTCTAGTATCTGAGTAATGTTTACCTTCTCTTCCCCATTAGCACGTGTTTTATTGGGAAAGAACCCCTCCCTTCCTTTCTTCCTGTGTCCCTCTCTTCTGCTCATGCTCCTTTTCTCCCTCCCCCACCCCCATCTCTGCTTCCTGCAGAACAGAGCTTGACCTGGAATGACCTTCACCATGCCAGCTCCCTTCTGTCCACACTCATCATGGAGTCTATGATGGCACATCGGGATCATTTTTTTTTTTTTTGTCAACCTGGTAAGTCTCCAGATGCTGTGTTTATCATGGTTCCTGACCTCTCCCCCATCTTCACCTGTATTCTCTACACCTTCATGAAGAATGATCTAGTTCAAACTGCAATAGCTGCTTCTTATACTGAGATCAAAGGCACTCGGGGGCATCTTCTCTAAAGCAGGCCCATCCACAGCTAAGCCCATCACCAGTGACTGCCTGCATCTAGCTGCCGATGTGGACGGGGCCAGGTGAGGAGTTGAAAGAAGAAGGCCTGCCTTCAAGGTTAGGGCCCTACTACACCATCTCCAAAGAGGCCACAAGCATCCCATTAGCTGTTCTAGCTATCTTAGGCATCTATGACAAGATTCTGCTAATACCAGCAGGACACACGTCCAGGGGCTTTTCTTTCTTTGGTTACCAAATACCATGGAGGTTGTACCTAGATGCATGCACGTGTGTATTTGCATGCATATAGGTTCACATACATATATCTTTGTGTGTAAATGTGTGTATCCCACCCCCCATGGAAACAGTACCAACTTAAATAAAGCCCACCACAACAAAGAACTTCTATATACACTCTTTCCTTACTCTATGAGTCCACCAAAGTTATTGTTCTACTTTGCAAATTGAGTTGAGGTCCCATTGAGTACCTGCATAGTAAGATACCACAGATATAAAGAAATGCCTTGTTTTGAGGCAAGCTCTCACGTGATCTAGGCTTTCCTCAAACCTACTTGTATCAAAGGATGACCTTGGACTCCTGATCCTACCACCTCTGTCACCTGTGTGCATGGATTAAGGGCACTTGTCCCCATGCCTGATTTATGTGGCACAGGAGAGCAAGGGCTACGTGCATGCTGGGCAAGCACTCTACCAACCGAACCACATGCCCAGCCTTACTATTTGGTCTTTGAAATGCCATTAAATTTCAGGTCAGGACACAGAAGAGTGAAAATGAACATAGTTCTTTCACGAGTATTAAAATGAGATTTCGATACAAATGATGATTTCAAAAAAAAAACCAGAAGAGTGCTAAAAAAGCTGGCATTTTATGTTAAGTCAGCTGCTACAGGGGCCCCACTCACACCGTCTGTGTACTGTGCTGAATCCCTGCGTCAACATGGCTCTATTCTGCACATACCTGAGATGTATCCCAGTGTCATTTAGAAATGGAAAACTCCCAAAACCACAAGCCAAGTCCATAAGATACCCAGTCTCTTCTAAGCCGAGCAACACCCTTTCTTTGTCCCAATGCTCAAGAGGTGTTTTTGTGATAATTACTAAGTTACTCCACCAAAGGTACTTAGAAAAGTGCCTACTGACAATTATTATTTACCGTTAAATGCATTTTCTACTATTTTAACTCATTACAAATTAAAAGTATGTAAATATAAGTATCTATTATTGTGCTGTAGATGGTTTATTTTATTCTTGGGCACCTACACATCAACCTGTTATTCATGTGAACTTAGCCTTTTCAGTCAATTCTGGGATCCATGTATACCTATGCCTGGGGTAGCTCAAGCCTTTAGGGACCATCTTTTGTAAACACGTTTCCACAAGACGGAACAACAGAAAAACGGGCAGTTGCTCTGTTTTTATTTCCTTTCTTAGTGAATTTTTTTATGTGTGGCAGAACAAACAGAACCATGATTTGTCTCTCAATTTAGACTTCTGATTTCATGCTCTTTCGACAGATATATCCATTTTCTATAGGTACAAACTTTCCTCTGCTAAGATTTTCCTCCTGCTTTTGTCTGCATCCACTCTGCCCCCTCGATAGCCCACCTATAGGTACCCTACATGCAATCCCTCTTCTGTGATATCTATCATCAACCTTCCTCCAAACCAGATCCTGACCTGTCCCTTTGTTACCTCTGTGTTGGAGAGCTGGAACCATGGTTGCTTCCCATAGGTAAAGATCTCCCAAAGTATAACCCCAAAGCTCCACACATCGCTCTCTGTGGTGAACTTCCGGTACATGATACTTTCAGGAGGCATCCAGCGGATGGGGAGCATGGTGTGTCCTCCCACCTAAAAAGGGAAAAGACAGAGCCCCATAGAGTTACCAAATAGCCAGAATCAACCAGAAGTCTATACTTTTCTTATATAAATGTACCCTCCATGCATTGGGTCCTAACATGGCCATGCTTTAGGCGACCTGAATTCATAGGTGAATGGAGATGCCCGCATCAGTGAACATAATATTGAAAGCAGCTATAGTTCAGACCATAGGGAAGAAGGCAGACTTCTTAACCTGGTACTAGAATAAAATCTTAAAATCTTTTCTAAAGAAAACTCCAGGAGGAAGCTAGAAGAACCATGGTGTAAGCCTCCAGGCATCAGAGTGGCCACAGGCATTGATTTAGATGCCTTGACAGAGGTGATCAAGGCACAAATAAACACTATGGACATCTAATCTGTAGATTATTAATTTCTGTTCTCACCTAAACTTTTCCTCACAACTTGGGATCCGTACTTCATGTGAACAGGATGGAGACCTCCAGAAACTTCTAAGCCCATGTTTTAATAATAAATTTGGTGGGAAAGAAGAATAATTTTCAAAATTCATAGTAAGATACATCACAGAGGATATGATCCTTAAAATTAGCCTCAAGAGACACAGATTATTTGTGTATTTACCCATGAGAGTCAAGGATAAAATAAAGTGACTGAGAAGAGCAAGATATTTGCCATATGACTTAGAGGAAAATTCTGCATAAATATTTACTATCCAGTGGGTGAGAGATATTAGCACACATGAAATTTTACAACATGTTTCAAAACTCAGTTATGAACTACATCATTACTTAATAGAACATCAGAAGTTGGACCATTCAGTTAGTAATTGAAATGTGTTATGAAAGTGCTGGCTGTTGGCTTGAAAAAAAAGGAGTTCTGTGTATGTGTCCCAATAACTGTTAACAGAAACATCTTTCCCTGGTGGCCCAGTTGGAAGGACATCAACAATGAGTATTGGAAAACAGATGGCTAGAAGATGAAAACCTCATATCTAAAAGGATAGATTGTATGTGTCTTATCCACTGGAAACATCTTGGAAGAAACCAGTCTTGAGGATTTGTAGAAAAGTCACCCATAACCTGGAACTTCTGAAGTCAGCCTAGCTTTGCAGGAGCAATAGAGACAATGCAAGATGTTCCCACCTGGGAAGCAAAGACTAGGACTCTTCACTACCACCAGGCTTTCAAAGAAAACAAAGCAAAAACAAAATCACCAGGAATTGATAAAGAATGATTCTAGAATAATAGAAAAAAGGAATGCATGAAATGTAATGACTTGAATTCCACAACAATTGAGCAAATAGACCACAACAATGCAATTTAAATCTAAATAATGCTTGCTAATTTGTTGGCTAAAGGTAATACAATAACTAATAAGGGCTTCCTATAAAATAGAAACAGAGTAAATAATATCACCAATAATGTTAATAGTACCACTGCTGCTACTGCTCACCTAATTATGGGAAATAGAATTTCCATATAATTTTAACCATAAGTGCAGAGAAGAGTAGATACAGATATAATTAAAAGCCCAATAAAGACTTTATCATTAGGAGAGGAGAGAAAAGCACTTATAGATACAAATCAATTATTGATTATAACAATTTATACTTAAATATGCTTCAGAAAATCTTAAAGCAGCTTCTAGAAGAATAAAAATACTAAATACAGCTTCCTGACCTAACCTAAACATCAAAATTTGTCATCTTGCAAAAAGCACCACAAATGGGGAGAGCAGCAATAATGAACAAAAATTACAAAATGGAAGTGAACTCTAAAACTCTGTAGACAGTAAGTGTAAGTGGGTTATTACTACCTCTAAAATGGAAAGAAAATTTTAGGTTAAAAAATCAAGATTCGTGTTATTTAGAAAAGCTGTATGTAAAACAAAATTATAGAAAATATTGAAAATAAAACAATGAAAAATGTAGTAAAATTGAAATGTAATCATTCATATATGTGCATATGAATGTATATATATGCACACAGGTAAGCATGTATATTCATATAGATGAATATTTAGATGTATATGATCAATTAAATTTCCTTTATTTTTTTAGACATTTTATATTCTTCTTATATGAAGTTGAAAAGTCTTGAATGAGAGCAATTTAATGTTAAAAAAGACTTATGTCATGTTTATTTCAAATGGAATATTATATGTAAATTTGAAAAAATCTGTCATTATGATAATCATGAACTTGTGTACTCAAGTATGACAATAGCATTTTGTGCAATATACTGAGATTGTAAGTATGTGAAGAACAAAATATTATAAAATTTAAAAACTGATGAAGCTACCACAATGGAAACCTAATACCCACTAAAATTATTTCTTTTATTTACAAACTCTAATCACATGTTAAACCTCAAATGGCATCTGAAATTTCAAAGAAAAAATAAGTGCGCAATAATAACAAGAAACATTTCCCATACCAAATAAAGCAAACTCTAAATAACAACAAAGGAGTACACTATTAAAAATCTCAAAGTTTCATTGGGAGCAATTAAAATACTATTTGGTACAAATTATATTTAAAACTATTTTTATAGTATGAACTAAAGTCTTATTCATTGAATCCTATGGAATATAACTGAGTTAAACTTTAGAAAAATATGTAGAATTTAATTCATTTTAGGGTAATTAAAATATAACTAAACTAGAAAAGGACTCAATTTCAAAAGGAAGTAAAAGTCTAAAAAATATAAGGAGAATAACAAGGAATAAACAATAAAAACAAAATTCAAAGACAAAACTGATTTGGTATAAATCAAAACAATGTCCAAACAAACAGAAATGAAAAAGACACAACTCTTACTTCATCTACATAATGAATAGCTTGTCTTCCAAAATTATGAAAAATCTTTGGCAAGGCTAATAAGCAATGTAAAAGAGAAAACTGTAAAATGCTAAAATTAAAGCCCTTTAATTTGTAAAATACAAGTTCAATGACTGATTTACTGGAAAGTATTAATGAAAATCTGAAAACTAGACAATTGGAGAATAAAATTACAGCAAATAAAATACATATAGGATGAAAATAAAAAGGTGGTCTTATTTGTGATTTCTGCTAAGGTTCTCTGATACATATTTTTCCAATGTAAAAAGCAAAGACACTGTCTTAAACCCTTGTCTGTGGCTTTAATTTCTCTAAAAGTGGGATTGCTCTAAGAACACAGAGCCTCAAATATATAAATACACATAACGAGATTTTATCTATGTGTACTGATAAAGCCTTCTCTGTTCTAAATAACCTGTTGTATTAAAAAAAAGGTATCAAAAGAATAACAACCATAGGAAATCTACTGTTCCATTGCCTAATTAAAAGGTAAATAAAGAAAAAAAGTCGTTCAAAGGCTACTAAAATTTTCCAGTACCGTTTTCTGGTTGAAATCCCTAATCCATGAGTAAAGAAGAAAACTTCTTTAATTTAACAAGTTAGATATCACAATGCCTGAAAAACTTTAGAAGCGCAGAAGGGACATTCTTTCCTTGATTTTGTGAAACTGTCCAGGAAATCCTAGGCAGTGTAACAAAGTAATTATTTGTTAAACAGATAAAGCGTCAAAATAGCTTCTAAACACACAGTTCTCTATGCCTTGACTAGCACAGCTCTCAGACCTAGTCAGAAAAGTCTTCTTATGCAGTCAATGGTACTTAACACAGAAACTAACAACGGGTCAACTTACAGAGAATAAGCGCCTGTGAAAGCTCAGCCACAAATGGGACACCTGTACCACACCCCTTCCTCAAGGCTCAGGGACCACAAAAAAGAGGGTGAGGAAAGACTGTAAGAGCCGGAGGACAGAGACAATCATGGCAAAACAATGTCTTCTGGACGTGACAGAAATGGTGCACTCAAAAACTCACAGCTGCTGTGGTTGTCTGCACAATACCAAGTATCAACATCCTAGCATGGAAGGCAAGATGGTCATGAGCCTTAGCCCCTGACTGAGGTGTTTGGAGACTGTGTGGTTTTGAGGGGAGAGATAGTTTTCTCCAGAGGTAGGTCAATCACATGCCAGTGGATGGACACAAAACCAGAATGAAGTCAAGTCAAAATGGGTTATTCCATTTTAAAAAGGAGAACATGAAGTTTGGGCATTAGGGAGGTGTGGCAGGTCTGAGAAGAGTTACAGGGAAGAGTCAGGCATAAATATGACCATAACACATGGTGTGAAGAGGTCTCAAAGACTTAATGTGGTATTTACTTTAAAAAATAAATATATAATAAGATGTGGAAACAGAGGAATCAAATTGTCTGTTGTCTGGGAATAGTATGTTGTTCAAAACAATTAACTAAAAAGGAATTGAAACCGTTATAGCTCAGTAAAATACTCATATAGAAACACAATAGCCAAACTACACTAACAATAGCATAATAACTCAAAACAGAATTGAAAATAAAACTGTATAATATCAACAAAGTGCTTAAAAATCTAAGACATAACTCAGCTTAAGATGTATAGGTCTAATCAGGTAAAAGAACACAAAAGAGGATCCATATAAATGCAAAGTTTTATCACTTTCTTGAATAAGAAGTTTTGATGGGATAAGTCTCTCATTCTTTCTTCAAATACAATTTAAAAATTGAGTGCAATATAAATTTAAAAACCCTCAACAGAATGGGTTACAGAAACTGGCAAAATGAATTCAAACTTTATCCAGAGAACTGACTGCTTAATTAAAGACTTGTTGAACTAGAACAATGATGGGTATTTGTTTTACCAGATAGTAAAACATTTTATTGCACTATGTAACAAATACCCCATGTTTACCATAGGAACTGACAATATATTAGTGTGACAAAATAGAAAGCCTAGAACCGTGTACAAATACTAGAGTTTAATATATGACATGATGGGTTAGTAATTAAAGTGTTGGGACAATGAACTATTCATTTAAAAAATACACTTAGATACCTACCTCACACCATATACAAAAATCATTTCCAGATGGATTAAAGAGCTAAACATAAAAACAAAACAATAAGATATTAGAAGAAAACTTACAAAGGTATTTGTATAACCTCAGGAGTAGAAGACCTTCCTACATGACATACACTTAAAAAGTCATAAAGGATATAATTTATAGACACAATTTTGTAAAATTAAATAGCAAAGACAAAATCCATAATTAAAACACAAATGACAGGAATATCTTCAGCATATGCAACAGACAAATTATTATAATCATTATTATTACTAATAATTTTTTGTAAAATGATCTTTCTAAGCAGCCGCAGGCTAGCCTGAAAGTCTCTGTGTAAATCAGGCTTGCCTCAAGCTGGCTGAAATTCTTCTGCCATTGCCTCTCCAATGCTGGGACAAATGAGGAATTAAAATGCATATTATTCTTGGTATTCCTTCACATCAGTTAGATAAGCAAACCAACAGACAGAGGAGTAGACTAAGAACAGACAAGCCACACAAAAGCTACAAATAGCCACAAACAAATGAAGAGATGCCAAGTAAAAGAGCATAGACATGTATTTTAATGACACGTGATAAAAAGGGAAAGGAAAGGTTGCTATCAGATGCTGGAGAAGGTGAGAGACCCGATGCTCTGATGCCAATGGTGAGACTGGAATCTGCTTCTGAGGGCACAGTCTTTGCTTTATCTGCCCACACTCACTTGAAAGAGGCCTAGAATCCATTGATTTCACTGGAGAAGTGGTAGAAAACTATTGTCTTGTTTCTTAACAAAATTATTTGGTTCAAGACCATTTTTTGTTGATTCTAAAGGCATGAATATGATGGTTAAAATAGAATGTAAAAATGCTATGTATGCTGATATGTAAGTTTGTCCAGGATAATAAAATTTAGTACATGAAAATTAAACTCATTGACAAACACACTTTGTCATTCTCATTCATGTAAAAATGGAAATATATAAACATAGTAATAGTGTGTGACTTTGTGAATGATATGAGACGATTCAGAAAACAACCAAACCAGTAGTTTTCTCTAGAGATGGAAATAAGGAAGTTCCAGATTTCATTACATGTATTTCTATTCTGTTTGAAATTTTTACAATGATTGGGTACCACATTTTCAAATCCCAACATAAAATTAAACACAAACATTTGAATACACAGACTGAAACCAGCAGATATAAGTACACATAAAAATAGCAGTTTTGTAAAACAAATATGTTTGTGATAGAATATGCTAGAATGGTTTGCTTCATCTGGTTTCTTGCCTAAAAACAAACAGAAATCAGTGATGTACTGATATATCACTCTGGGTATATAATTTTAAATAATGGAACCCTCCATTTGACGCTAGTATGTGTCTCAGCTGGTGGATTTTTACATACAATACAGAGAAAGTTTTAAGTTGAAATCTCTATGTTCAGAAAAGGAGAAATTCAGGAGTGCTGGGTGCAAATTGTGATGAGCCTAAGTGTTTGACCAGACACTCTCAAAAGAACATTAACTGGTCACATGGGTCCCTTTGGAAGCCCCTCATTTCTAACATGGCAAAAGCAGCAAAACTCGAAAGTCAAGAAATACTAAATTTTAGTGTGATTTTTAATTTTTTTATTTTTTATCAGCTCAAGTTTTCCTAAACTTCAAAATATGAATTAAACAACAAGGCTGCCTCAAAATCATGGATACAAAATTCTACTGGGTATCCCAAGTGCAGAGATGTATACGCATAGTACAATAATGGTTCACTATGTACATCTTCACATTCTTCTGGACAACATAATAAATCTGAATTCCTAGAGTTCCTTTATTGCCCATAAGAACCCATATTTATTTCCTTCCAGTATGACTGGGAAAAGTAGTGGCCTAATAACTCATAATTATAAACACTGATTGACAAATATCTCTACCCTAGAACTTATCCAGACATAAACTATCAGGAAGCCATGATCTCAAGTATAGGAACAATACTAATTAATGAATAATAATGTCACATATTCTCTTATTTCATCCTGTCTCCATTCCTGTGCAGCAGGTGCCTCTATTTGTGCCCACCTCTCAGATAAAACTAGGAAGACTTCCCCCAAGCTTTGCATGGGTAATATCAGCTTGCAATCAAAGCTCTCTAAGGGATATCTTAAGGATCTTGAGACTAACCTTGAAAACGGGCAACATAAACTAGTAAGATCCAGGAAACATGCCGAAGAATGATGCTAGAAAAATCTAAGAAAATAAAACTTGGAATTAATTGCTCTAGGAAAAGAAGCCCCTGTCTGCTTTAGGACATCTTCTACTGCCTCATCACTACCTTCCACTGTCCTCTCTTACATACCATCATGACCAGCAAAGTTGGGAATTAGGAAACCTAGAAGGAGGAACTGCTCAAGAGAGGCTTTGCTCATTGGGTTTAGATGTCAGTCTACAGAAATTAGGTGACCATAGGATCCTAAGACCTGTTCTTTTGTTTTTGTCACTGAACCTGTGCAGGATTTTTCAGGGTCTTTGCTTCTTAGACCATCATGTAAGTTGACTTAAGAATATGAAATTTCTTTAAGTCTATTTCTCATTAAAACCATCATTGTAAACATATGAGGATCAATATGAAACAATATGAGTCGCACTGTCTCCATAAAGTTCTCTTTAAGCCCAGAGAACATTAGGAATTTGAAGGATTCCAGACTCCTAGTAAGGATAGGTGAAAAACTGAAGTTTCAGATATCCACCCCCAAATCATTCAGGAGCTATAAGAGAAGTCATCAGCTGTTCTCAAGCATACACAAAAGAAGGAAACCTCCTCTGGGCCTTGTATCCAAGCAGCTTTGTGGTGACCCTGTTCCTTTGCAGTGGAGTCCACTTGACCCATTACACACTAAAACTGTGCTAACGGCTCTCACAATATTATTCCCACATCAGTAAGACTGTGCATAAAAGTACAAGAACCCAGATAATTTAAATATAAAAGAACTAAGTTATAGCCATGAATACTACACAGGACACATGCATAAGTAATAATGCAGGTTTTGTCTGAAGTTCCACTGTAACAAGGTATCTTGTGTTTTTAATTTCTAAAGCTTACCACTCAAGAGTCCAGATTCACATGGGAATGTCAACTGTATCTCACAGCCCCTTTCCTTTTATCTCCTTCTTCTGTCTGGTCTCTCCCTTGCTCTAAAGGATGCATATGAGTTCATTGTTGTGTGTACCACAAAGTTTCTGCTCTGTCATCCAAAGCTCACCCAGTGCATTCTACCTGTTTCTCACTGGCAGTGAGTGTAGCCCAGAGCAGAAAGACCTCATAGCTAAGGTTTCCTCTATGAACAGAACTCTGTTTTTTTTCTACCTATAGATCCTTGGGAAATTATTTGTCTTTCCTGAGCTTGAATCATCTTACTAAAATAGGCCTCATAACTCCAAAAACCTCTCAGGAGTATCTGCCATACTTGTTAAAATGCAGAAACCTGGGACTTCCCCAAAATCCAGTGAATTACCCAAGGCTCATTGAACTGTGTCTTTTCTCCTACAATTGTGAGTAAAGACTCATGACACACACAATGTTCATACATTGTCATATCATAAGTACCATATGCTAATGGGTTTTATCACTGGAGTTCCTCTTTCTGTATAGTCCATAGCTGTTTTCATTCTGCAGGGGCCAGGCATTGAATCGCTTCAAAATAAATCATCTTGCAACTTGGTGATTGAGTTGTTACTATAAAACCTAAAATATTTTCTATGTTGTCTTTTACAGATGAACTCTGAGAAGCAGTGAGTTCGGCTCAAAGGGATAGGCAGACTGGAAGCTACAATTGCTTGAATAGCAGACATGAGACGATGGTTCTTTTCTAATATGTGGAAGTACTGCCAAAACACTATTAATTCCTTAGCATCAAACACCACGCAGTGTTTTGTGCACACATGTGCAAGAGAACTAAATTAAAGTGTGATTAATTTAGCAATGTTTCTTGGTATTTCACCCTATATATATAGCTACCTTTGCTCTCATCTTCTTGGGTCATTTTAGCCACCACATTTCTCATATTCTAGATTAGTTCATTATATTCCCATGGGCCACTTCACAAATTCCTAGATCTCCTATATTCCTACAACCTGATCATAACTGACTTTGTACACTGGTGATCAGAGCCAAGCTCATAAATGCTGCCATGGGCTTCCTCTGACACACGATGGTAGGTAAAGCATGTCCCTCTTTTATATGATCAGTGGATTCTGTCCGACCACCCATTACAAAGTCCCCTTTCACCTAGTGATTTTAGCAGCCGTTGATGATCATTGCCCAAATCCATTATTTCATTAGTGGTTCAAAAGGATGACATTCTAATTATAGTATTCCTTCTGCATATATTAGCAGAAAATCTATAAATAAAAAAACTTCCCTTCCTCTGCCATGTGACGGTACTAATTACAGCTTACGAGTCAGGCAAGATGGCTGCTTGACTATTTCCCTCTATTTACTAGCTTTTAAAATAGGGTTCATCCCCTAGCATTATGGTTTAAATGTGGTTTGACACAGAGGCTTAAGTATTCAAATACTTGGTTTCCTGTTTATGATGTTCTTTTAGAAGGTTGAAAAGAAGCTTTACGGAAGGATTGCATCCCCAGAGGTGGGTCTTGAGGTTTCATATGCCAGTCTACTAGGAAGTAGTAGTAGTAAACTCTCTGCTTCCTGATTGCCAAGACACTGTGATCAGCTATCACCATGCCTTCCCATCCATGATGGGCTATACCCCTTAAACTGTGAGTCAAATAAGTGCTTCCTCTCTTCAGTCACTGCTTGCCGGTTATTGGTCATAGCAACAGCTAAAGCAGACCAGCATTCTTCAGGGGTCGGCTGTGAGAGCTCTGTTTTGCTTCTGAGAAATGCTTCCAGGACTTGCTCTCCTTTTAAACGCACACTTGAAGTGCTTCAGTCTGCTGCAGGGACTGTTTTTGATGCCCCTTTTCCTTCCATCTTCGGCCAACGGAAACCTCTTAAAGCTGTGCCTCCCTTGTCTCATATAACCCCTGTAGTCTTTGATAG